TATTTCTTTATTGTTTGTTCTCTTTTTACATTGAAGAAAGCTCTGTCTAAAACAAGCTGTATATGGGCAATACTATCAACACATTTATTTGTGAAGCTTTACCACTGCAGTCTGTAATGCATTAAAAACAAAAAGGCTGTATCTGTGTATTGTTAATAATTATTAGGGAAGTGTGTAGTCCTGTCCCAGGGTTTTGTAAGCAAGGTCATGGTACAATAAGAGTTGCAAGCTCTGTAAGCATTAGTTGTATTTGCATATGTCAGAACAGTCTGTGAATACTAAAGGCACAAACACTTCACATCTGCTTCTGTTTACTCCCATGCTAACAGTCAAAAGTACAAAAGTACTGTGTTAATTGCTCTGTTACATACTGACTGTTGACACATTCTCCATAGAGCTTTCATAAATACACTGTTGCAAACAAACTACTAATGACTTTGCTTATTTCCAGCCCATCTTTAAAAGAAATCCAGAATATATACACAGATTAATGATTCCTCTATTTAGCAGTGTGTCTTGTTGCTTGCTATTGTGGAGGCTTGTATAAAGGCAGTATCAATTAAGTAGCAATTATCTATGAAGTGGGAAAAAAAAGTGATGATATAAATAAGTAATGTGCATGAAGTGAGAATTTCTGAAAACAACTTGAGGTGAACTCTGAGGCAAGGGCACCGACTAGTGAACAAACCCTCTCCATCTGCTCTTCTATCTAAAACCATTAGAGCCCAATTTGAAGTCTGACTAAACAGCGGTGATAACTGTGGGCCTCCATTGAGATTTTTCACTATATATGACATGCCCTGGAGAAATTTAAAAAAAATAAGGATGGGAGCTGAGGGAAAAAAATTAGACTCCTAAAAACCACCACTAACAAGCTAATAATATTTAAATTTGTGCTTCAATTTTCTTTTTGCTATGACACTTCAATATAGAAATACAATTATCTAGTTATTAAAAAACAATAAAGGAGCTGCATCCCAAACCCACTAAGCACAGTGTGGTGTTTAGTTTCTGACAATGGCCTGCTTCTTCTGAAGGAGAGAGAAAAGCCTACGGTGTGCCTCACCTTCCTCAAACAGCAAGCACTGATGGTTTTCTGAATGCCCCTTCTTTTCTGGTATTGAATTTTGTCATTCTTTAAGAACCTTTCAAAAATGGTCTTCGCCTCCATCATTCAGATGCTGACATCCATTGCTGTAAATGCAGCATAAGGGTAATTAATTTATTATTTATTATTTTTTTTAATGGTTCCTTCAATTTGTGTGACAGAATAAGATAAAATGAAGTTACTCTTTATATCATTTGCTATCGTATGTCTGTCCCCTGCACTTACATTTTTCCTCATTTTGGTCAAGACTGTATGACAGTCACCAGGAGCAAGTCACTCATTTATTAGCTCCATCTTATTGATTTATTCATGTCTTCGGCATTCAATCAGGTCCAGTGAAGAGTAATAAAGCATTCTGACAGAAAAAACACATTATGTACTTTTTCTCTATTTAATGTTCTTGCAAATCTCCCCACTCTATCATACATAATACAGATAGAGATGTAGACCTTAGGTCTGTAAAGACAGTCTTGCAGCCACACCAATGAGGTCTCAGGTGTCTTTCATTTCATGAAACTGGTGCTTTTCAGCCTTGGTTCACACCACACTCGGGCTGTGAACAGCAGTGGTCTCACCACCCTGTCTCTGTGTGTGCCAGTGCCCATGAATCATTTTAACACAATTTTCTCATCCTAGTTTTCCACAAATGTCTAGTTATAAACCTGCAAAGAATCAAGGCCACTCCAGATCAAACCCAAGCACACTCTCGGTAGGATGAAGGGAAGGATGCGCGTGTGAGCACCACCTGGAAGGGAAGGATGCTCCTGTCTCTACCCACTGACCCCCCCATCGAGGCTCTGAGAGAGTCCTGTTATCCCAGCATTCAGTCATCTGTACACAACGGCTGCAGACATCGCCTCTGGCTTCTCCCACAGACATACATTATTCCTTCTTTTCCATATGGCTGTTTGATCATGCCACGTTTGACCACCTCTTCCAGATTCTGTTTTCGTGCTATGGACAATCCCAAATCATCTCCACACAAAAGCACATGTGTGTCTGTGTGTGTGTGTGCGCAGAAGTTACAGAAATGAAAAAGCCTAATTGTCTAAAAGCAATTGGTGACAGAAACAGGAGGGAGTGCTCTGACCATGCTGCCCTGGTCCCAAAGCCAGCAGTCCTGCCAGGGCCAAGAATGTGCTCCCTGAAGGCCAGTGCCCTCCGCATGCGGCAGACTGTGTGTGTGGGGTGAGCTCACTGCTGACCAGGGACTACTAGGCTGGCATTCTCTTACTCCTCCTGCAACTCCAGTGCCAAGGAAAGCATGATGGGGTAGAGGGAAGAGCTAAAAGCTCTTCAGTTGCCTCCCCTTGAGTGCTGGGCTTGATAGAAACGGGTTTTGCTTCTATGTTATAGCTCAGCACGACATTTACAGCAAACAGATATTTCTCCCTGTTCACAATTGTTTTTCTCAGTTCAATTATGACAAACCATATAAATTCTCCAAGATCTTGCTCTGTAGTCTCTGCTCAATCTCTTTTTTCACAAATCATTATCAGATCTTGAAGACAGATATCAATCACCATAAGCCAGAGACCAGAAGTCAGAAAGAAGCATTTTTCGAAGAATTCCAGAATTGCAAAAAAAAGGTCTTTCAGCACTATTTTCCTGGACATGGAAATCAGGCCTTTCTACAGAAAATTAAAAGTGGTTTTCTCCTTAGCTTGGTTCTTGGACCCAGTATTAAACACAAAAGCTGAACACCGGCTGGAGCCAGGACTTCTTGACAGCACTCCAGCAGATGGAGTCAGCAAACACTGGCTCTAGCATGTCGTTTGCAGAAATTCAGGTTTGCTTGAGAGGACTTTAGAGTGCAACCCTGTTTAGAGAGTACTTTAGAGAGAGCTGTTCCAAGGTTTTTTGTGGACTTGAGCTTCTCAGTGTAAGAATAAAAGTGTGGATCATTCCAGTGAGTAATTCTAGGGAGCTGGAAGATGTTAGCTTCTTGAGCTAGGGTTTGCCATGAATGTGGGAGCCTGAAACTTCCTTGGCAGGATTGCTTCTGACAAAGGCCATGGTTGTCCTTAAATTGGAAAAAGCAACTTCACACCTTCATTACCATATACCACCACACCTTCATTAGAACAGTCCTAAGCAATTTTCTATTTACCTGCTAAACTGGTAATTCAGACTTTGGTTATTTTAGCAATGATAAGAGACCAGTAACAGTCAAGTTTCTTTATTGCTTTTTAACAATATTGTACCTAATCCTTGTTTGTTTGGTGAGGTTTTTTTCAGATTGTTTTGTTTTAAATACATGAAAACCCAGACAACCAGAGAACCTTTCTTTGCTTGCTCACCTGAGCAAACACCATGACACATCTGTTTTATCAGTAGTGCTCCCAAAGGTCTGACTCCTAAGGCTTCTTACTTCTAATACTGGTTGGTTATCTCATCCAGCTAATTTTATATATATCTCTATATAATATCTCAGCTATTTCTCCTTACAGCACTACTCAGCAGCAGCCCTTCATGTCTGTGTAGAGTCATATATACATATATAGCTTGATTTTCAGATCTGAACTGGTTTTTTTAGATTAACTGCAGCTATAAAGAGAGGAAATGTTTTCCTTCTATTTTCTCAAAGAGAAGTTTTGAAACAAATAGTGTCAAAAATCTTTGACCAAACCTGCAAAGAAAAATATTTCAATTTTCTCTTTATAAAACCAATGTAAAATAGAAATCTTAGGATCTCAAAGGGTTTGGCCATGCCTATTTTAAACTATAATATACTTTTCAACTATATCTTAGTTGATTTTAACAGTTCCTGAGAGCTGAGGTGTTTGAACTAGCAACCCTGAACACAATAAAGTTAGTACAACCTGAGGAATGCCAGGAAGGCAGCACCAGGGGTAAGATTGCCTCGTGGCTGTGTGAAGACAGGTAAAGTGCCCCGTGTAAATACTACATCTCTGTGGGTTCTCAGTCAGCAAAATGAGAAAATTATACTTATTTTATTTATCAAGTGCTTTGAAGTCCTTAGATAAAAGGAGAGCCTTCAATATCTTGAAAGTCCTGAATAAATCGGTTCCTACCTTCATCTAAGTGCTATTGAGAACCTCAAATACTTTATTTCCTCACCTAGAGTGAGCAGTTCAATCCAATCTGCTCAGGGCATCCCTAAACACACAGACAAAACTAAGCTTTAAAAAACATAAAAATCCATAACTTGTGATGTATGACAACCTCATTAAAAAAAAAAAAAAAAAAAAAAAAAAAAAGGAGGAGAAAAAAGGTTACCTATTCTTTAATGTAGGGATCTAATGAGGAAGAGCAAGGCTCAGTTGCTTTTTCTACTTCAAGGAAATCAGATACACTTTTTCCTACCTTTTAGGCAAATCCTGAATATCAGATTATAAAAGCCCTTTCTGGGGACACTCACTTCATTTTATATTCAAATTTAAAATTAAGTAGGTTGGCTCTGGGTCTGGATGTCTCTGTGGATCTTGCATTAAGTGATTCAACTAAACCTGCCTGGAAAGCATATGTCACAGCAAGGAACATGCCATTCTTCTCTAATATTCCTAACAGCACATATAAAAGCAGGTAGGTAGATGGCTCTGTGGCTCTTGGATGTAAATTAAATGAAACAACAATGTTCCAAATCATGGTTGTATCTCTCATACTGAACTCATAAGAAGAGATTACAAGGAGAAAAGTGTAGCAAAGTCCTTTGGTTTGACATTCTCAGTTGCAAAACAGAGTAATAGTTTTCTACCTATATAGTATGTAAATATCTTTCTTACGTTAGATTTGTCTTCATGAACTGCCACAGTGAAGAAAGACTTTTAAAAAGGAGATATTATGAGCATAAGTAGGTGAATTATGGAGGAAAAAAACCAGAAGATTAAGTATAAGAACAGCTACTAGTCAATAGCATGTAGAGATTTATTAATGCACTTATTCTTTTCTGCTACATATTAGTCCCTTATTAGCATGTTTTACCTGAGCTTGTCACAGTCTTATTTCTGAATTAAAACAAATGACAACATTAATAAGTTAAAATTAAATATTTGAGATATTTTAATATTTGAGATACTTTCAAAGGTGAGGCAACTTTAAAAATTCTGTCACATGTAGCAAAACAACTACAACATATAAATGCTAACTAATGAAAACATGTATTTCATGAAAATAAATGTTCCATAAGTACTTTGGATGTTTAATTACTAGGTAATATGCAACTACTTTGACAAAAAGTTTCATTAAAGGATAGTAAGAAGAAGAACAGAAGAAGTATTCACTATTTTTAGAATTACTGAATTTCTCAATGCCTGTTCATGTAACTCAACAACATTAAACAAGAAATTGTTCTGCCATTGGTAGCAAAATCTCTGTAAAATCTGTAACAGGTATTTATCTCCAAACGCCTTCAATTAAAACTAACATAGCTGAAACATAATTTGAAGGACTGTTTTTTCTCCATAACATTGATAATGTTTAAACACATATATGCAAATAACTCCAGTTTATGGACAATTTTTTCAGATACTCTTAAGATAGCTGAGCAGCCTTAAATTTTGAATGCCTTTTAATTAAGGCAATCAACAGCTGCTGCCCAAACTTTGTGTGGCCGTCACTAGGGCTGGTCCTGGTTGCAGACAAATATATGATAAACCTCAATACCCATTTTTCTTTTGACTCCCTTCTCTATGTGTTTAGATATAGCTTCTGCTTTCACTGTAAAAACTATGTAATATATTGCAGACCTTCTTAGGTGTCCTGAAATTGTATATGGCAAGGTTTAGGTAACAGAATGTATGACAACAAAGTAGTGGGTTCTGTCATTCAGTGTTTCTATTTCCTGGAATTATGGTTATTATGAAATATTCAGTGGCTTCTTGGCCATTAAAGAGGCAGATCCCCAGCCATGGGCTTGTGGAAGTTTTACAAGTGTCCTGCCCTTCACCATATGTGTGTAAGCTGACAAGTCAATGCTCCTTGCCTTCCCCAGAAAACCTGTCCTTCCACGTCGGGACAGCCTGCTCAGGTAAGGAAGGTTTTATTCCAGTGCAAGTGCTGGAAGCAGGAGTTCTTCTAACCCATCTTAAATGTCTCTGTTCACACGTCATCTGCAGCAGATTGGTGCAAGCAGTATGCCATAAAGATTGCAAAGAATACTCTGCCAATATTTAAGCAATTGTCTCTTCTTAAAAAATATCCTTACATCATGTATGTCTCAGGTAACAATGGTACAGAAGTTTACTGTGCACTATAGGGACTAGAAATACTGTGAATCAAAGTGCTTCATGTTCATATTTTATTTTACATGTTTAGATTTTTAAATTTTCTGAACAATGCTTAATAGGCAAGAAAGTTACCTTACAACTTCAATGAGACAATGCACCTAACAACTATAGTTTAACATGCCCATCCTCTCTGATTTACCTCTACATCCATACTTGCTCCTTTAAACCGCTCATGGTGGCCAAACATGTGTCAGTATCAGAACATTTGCAGCTGCTTCCTGCCTCTTTTTAGTGCTCTGCAGTGATCTCCTGCTTTTCTCTTGCTTTCCCATTGGCAAAGCTCATGTCGAAAAGTGACCTGATCTTCGTGGCAGTTTTCACCAGGACCAGTGTTCCATTTCAGGCTTGAGACAATCCCTGGTTCTTGGCCTTTGATTTTCTGTGGCTCTAACGGAAGTCCCCTAAGGGAAAATTGCTTTGGGCTTTCTAGCTGAGGTTTGTAGTTATATTTACCAAGAATTTCAGAAAACTTATGAGGGGGTAGGAAAAAGGATTTATTCATTGGCATATGTTTAAAAAGGAAAAAAGAATCTGTCTATGCATTCCCCAATTTCCACACTCAGAGCTTTCAGTTTCATGGCAATCTTAGTCCATTTCATGCTGGAGATGTGTCAAACTGAGAACCAAGGGAAAAGCAAGGATTGCTTAGTGAACAGAGGTTAACAATATTATTATATGCCTAAAATAAAATCATCCTTATTTTTAGAGATCAAAGTAAACCCAGGATATATATTTTTCATGTTTTTTCTCCACATCTACTCAAAGCAGCCAGATGGATTTGAGAGTCACTGAAATAACAGAGGAGGACCTGTCCAAACCTAATCATTTTCTGCTGGTAATGCTGGTAGGCAAAAGCCTTGGAGATCACTTCTGTGCCGCAGAGGAGGTGGAGCTCAGCTGCTCATGCTTGTTAACAACTGAAATGAAGCAAATAATTTCCATGAGCAACCTCTTGGGAAAATGTTGCCTGTTGGGTCTGTTTGTGAAGTGTCTGAGCAGATCATTCAATTCTTGGATTTCTCCATTCCTTTTGAATATTTGGTTACTTCCTAATTTAGTTAATCTTGTTGTGGGACCATTCACAAACACCTTAGTGCATGTTCTTGAACTAAGTACTATGCATTGCTGTGGTTTTCTGCATAAGTGGCATTGTATTCTATATTTTTTTCAGCTAAAACTCAAATGGAAAATTGCAAGAGTTACATCTCACAGTGCAATTTTGAAGCTGACTTTGTAGAACTAGTGCAGCAGTTCACTTCCAAAGCCTGCACTTCATATATACTTATGTCAGTAAAAGCTGTGCTCTTGAACATTCCTGGAAAGGAAATAAAAGATTGTTGAGAGTAAAGTCAAATTAAATTTAGTTTGGACTGCTAATATGAATATTTATAAATATTTTTTCCCAGTATTTGTGGAAAATTGTGCTGCCATAATATTCTTCTGTTTTTCCAAAATACACTTTTCTAACCAGGAAAAGTAAGCAAATACTTGAGCTACTCAGTGTAGAGAAAGACTGAAATGCCCACATGGACGTTGGATGCTATTGAAAGAAGAGGTAATTGCTCTGTCCAGAACCACTTTCTTTAGTTTGCTGGATGTTCCCTGATGGAACAGAAGTTCAGACCAGCTCATATAACACAGTATCATACAGGATTGTGTGTCTATACCATTTTCATCACCTGCCTTCTGGTCAATGTTGAGGCCACAATCCTATGAACACCTACATTCTCACGCACCTGGGTAGAGCAGGAACTCTTATCACTTCCTTTGTTTTGCTGAGCAAGGCTTTAACATTCTAAGGATACAGGAGATACTGTAAAATAAAGAGCATATATAAATCACTGAATTATGCACATTAGAAGGGCTCTTCTTGTCTATTTCTTTCAAATTTTCTTTTCATTACCATTTCTATTTCCAGCATATTCCATCCAGTTTTATACCACTGTTGTGCTGGGCTTTCTTTGTAAACTCATATCGCTTGCACTCTTTGTTAAGCAAAACAACCCTTCTTCTCTAGGAAAAAAAATTTACTTTTCCCTGAGTCCTTTCTTCTTCTTCCAGGCTAATCTTGATACTCTGCGCTGCTCTCTCTGCCCTCTAATTCCATCCATGTCTTCTCTCCATGGCCTCTCCACGAATCTTCATTTATACTATAATTCATAAATAATACTTAGAATTTACATATCCTTTTACAAATATTAATTAATTAGTGCTCATGTACTTGTAGAGAGCAAGCACATTGTCCTCGCTTGACAGATAGGGAAACAACAGCTGAGAGCACACTGCTCTCTGCTTTCATGGTGCCTAACACATTGGGGTCTCTTGCAATATTTGGTTTATGGACAATAATGTATCAAATATTCACAGCAGCAATAAGTGATTTAATCAGAAATTGAAATTGAATTGGAATGCAACAGAGGTGTGTGTACCTGCACCTACATTTGATTTTCATTCCAACAGAGCACCTAAGCCAGAGCACTGCTCTCCTGATACTATTATGAAGGTACTTCACTGTTCTCCATCACAGTGGGACAGCTGGACACCTCGAGATGTTTCAAAGGAGAAAACTGCCCTGCAGAGCAGAGAGGGAAAACACTACAGAATTTTAATTTTGGAGGAAAAAACCCACACCCTCTCCACTCCCCAGGAGAAAAGGAAATCAAAAACAAACCATCAAAATACCTAAAATCTGGATTTGATAAGCTTTTTGCTTTAAATATTGTTTTTCAGTTTCTAGAGTCTAATATAATAGGAAGGGCTGGAAATTTTATTTTTATAAGGATTATTATGATCACTCTTATTACATTTAGCGTCCAGAATCAGGGAGCTGCTTTGTCAGGTTTTCCTGAACCCCAAAGGCTCATTGTATTTGCAAGAGTAAATGTCTAAATATTGGACATCACTGAATCTATTTGACTAAGTTACTACCAGTAGCACAGCAGCTGCTGTACCGTTTTCTAACCTAACATGTGTTTGCCACCCATATTATCAGATTTACACAGAGGTTGTTGTTGCCAAAAGCAGGAGAGAGGTAAATTCCAACACTGTGACCCTTTGCAATCAAGAAACCTGCATTTATTCCAGTGCCTCTCCATAGAATGCAAGGGAATGGCTCCCAAGGAACCCAGAAATTCATCCACAAACGAAGAGTCCAAATAACCTAAAAAAATGAGAATTCAGATGTCTTAATATATTTAAATATGTGTATGCATACACACACCCCTCCTGTACCCTTCACATTAAGGCTGTTGGGAATTTTCCTGGAAGTGAGCTCAAGGTGAAAGGCCAGCACCCAGAGCTGCACTGGACAGCGGGTTCGGGCCCCACTGTCCCTCCCTGCAGCTCTCCACAGGCTGCACAGCCGCTGTCCCGGCCCCACAGAATAATTATCAATTATCAGCTATCAATTATCAGGATAATTATCAATTAGCAGCGCTTTCCGCAGAGGTGCAGCAAACCAGAGCGCAGTGGAGGAGACCAAAGGCAGCAGTTGGATCACCAGAGAGGTCACGGCAGTTTTGGGGGATATTTTGCAAAAGAGACGGTGTCCTGGGTTGATTGACGGTCACTGATTTTAACAAGAGGCCCGCGGCAGTGGAAAACCCGCGGGTGAGGGCCGCTTTTCCCGGTCTCTGCGGGAAGGCCGCAGCCGGCGGGGCGGGAGGCGGCCTGCCCAGGCGGCGGTTGCCAGGCGCCAGGCGCCATCTTGTGGCTGCCGGGCGAACTGCGGGCCCGCCACACGGGACTCGCCCCGAGGGTTTGCTGCTCCTGAGGCTACCAGGGAAAGCCTTTCCGAGGCTCCAAAAATTCACTTAAATCCGCGTTTCTACCAGGATTCCCTGCTTCCCGACACTGTCCTTGCCCACGGCTCTCACCAAGATGAGGTTCCCTGCTCTAGGGCGGTGTTGAATGTCAGAGCCGAGGCGGTGATACGAGAAATGTTCCTACACCGACCGACTTCGGGACTGGCTGCGTGCCTACCAAACATTAGAAGAACTGGCTTTTCAGTAGCCTACACAAGAAACTTGGGAGACAGAGATCTTGTACCAATGAGTGGTATTTTCTTCTTTGCCAGATAGTGTTTGCAGTATCTGTGCAGTTTCCAGGTCAAAGCATGTTATGCGTAGCTGTGTTGAAGAACTTAGCAAGAGTCTGTGTCTATGAGTGTAGATGCGCTTGAAGAATTTATTAGCCAGTGGATTGTTACATTGTAAACAAAAGGGGGTTTTGATACTATATTTAAATAATCCTTCGTTGCAACCAGGCTCCATGTACAATCTTACTTGTGCTGACTGTATAGCTAATGGATCATTCAGTTCTTAAAGTATAGGTTTGTCTTGAGTCTTCTGATTTCATCTGTGCCGTGCTGATGTGATGACCCATGGCACAATATTCAGCTGTTTCTCAGGGGGTTTTACAAGCCTAACAGACGTTCCAGGGGTTTTCATACCTCATCTAACTTGAACATGTCAATACCTTTCTATATTGTTTATGGAAGCCTTAGGTTTACACTTCTTCCTAAAGCAATTTCTTTTAACATTCCTGAGTACAGTTTTCACGCCCCAGAGATATGGAGACCTTGTATTGTTTAATGTCCTCCCCAGTGAATAAGGGAATAAAATGCATGGTATGTTAAGTGAATTAAAATATTAATTCAATGACCTCCTTCTTTCAAAAGAGAAAATGTTATTTTAGTATTCCATTTTATTCCTCTTTGTTAGTCTTAGTAACTTGGGCTTATTATCTCTTGCTAGTACCTTTAGATTGCCTCTTCAGTTAGCTTCCTGACTTCTGATTTTTACTTTGTCCTTTTTTCCTTTGTATTATAATTTGCTTGATCAAATAAGTTGGAAGGTTTACAACAGTTTTTCCAGCCTTTTTATGAACCACGGAGAGCGCCTCTTCCAATTCTTCTGCTAGTAATAAAGAAGAAATGCAGAGTATTATAAAAATACACAAAAAAAATTTATTTTGTTTTTAAACTTATGAGTGTTTGGCAGAAATTTTGTAAAAGAGCTAGTTAGCATACCCTTAAATCAAAGCATGAACTGAAGATACAGGATATTTGTGGGTGAGGATGTACACTTGGGAGCTGAGAGGACCCTCCCAAGACATTGCCTTCCGACATTTGCCTTCTTGATAGGGTATATAAACACATAGATGACAACTTACTGTGGCCTATCAACCAGTGGTGTTTCCCAAATAACTGGTTGATCTCTAGAGTTTTTTTCCACTAGCTGGAGTGACACAACAGACAGCTGCACATATGTTAAATGCTTTCCTGGTATTACTTTTCCATGTGAGACACTACTGCACTTGTCACAGAGATGTTACTCACTCATGAATGGGAAGGGAGCTTGCCCACAAAACATCAAGTAGGTAGAAAGGCAGCTTGCAAAGCTGCATCTGTTGAGGTCTTCCTCTATGAAAGTGCTTGAATACTTCTTAGCTATGGATTTTGATACGTGTCATAATTATCAAAGAAAGAAACAGAGAGGGGAAAATTTTACCATAAGCATGAGCAAAGGAGCAGCGCAATGCACGTTAATCTTTTTATTCTCAAGTTCTGATGAATTACAGCATAAAATGCTGACTCTTGATTTGCGAGTATCTTTACTCCCACAGAAAGTCTGACTTCCATGAGATGACTCTATGTTGCTTGTTTTCCTCTTGTCCCTCTCAGTGTTCAGACAGTATTTCAGCAGCAGTTGTTTGACAGAAGAGATCAGAACCAGTCCTAAAGCATCCATTTATGGCTGGGGGCTTTATGGCTAATCAATTTCTCATTGTTTTTTAACAGCATACTTTGTGACCAACCTTTTCTTTTTTCCAAAATATTTTCAGCTGGGCAAAATGAAGATGCAAAATAAATTATTTCCTGTTCTTCAGTAAAAAAAAGGAATTGAGATTTCCAGGAAGTGTCAGTGCAAACACAAGAAGGAGCAGCGTGTTCCTCTCAGGCATAAATTGTTATGCATTGTGAGTAGGAGTAGGAGAATTTTACTACATATCAATAAGCTGATAACATTCAATGTACACAAATATCTGTATTCATGCATAGATCCTGATTCACTGCTCTGACCAGAAAGATTGTACAGTATAGATGACACTGAAAGCTACAGGCACAATATAAATTAGTTATTGTATAGACTCATGTATCTTCTTTTCTCTTCTGGCAGCCCCATGGGAGTCAATGTTAAGAAAAACTGTAGCTAAGTGTTTGTATCATTATAAGCCTAACATCCTTATGGCTTTCATGAATTCCAAATGAGCTTAATAGCAGTGGAAGCAGGATGCTCTTAGGTTCTTATTTTGCTGGTGCACCTGCTGACAGAAAGGACTTTTACTGCCCCATCCATGTGCAGACCTATGCTCTGTGTCAATCTGACCAAAATCATGGCCCATGTAAATTGCTTATGAAAAGGCTTAGAAGGTATACCTGATACATTAAATCATTACTAATATGCTGCAAAACTGTATCTATGATAAGGACGCTTGGGTGCTAAGTGTGCAAACTTACCGTGACGGAGAAATCACAAATTGTCCTAGATTCAGGATGAAGGATGTTGAAATGAAAACATCTAGTACTGTTGCACTTGCAACAAAGACTTGGTGCAATGCAAATATGGAAGTAGCATGGTAGAGATGAATGAAGATGCAGAGGTGAGCATGTGCTCCAAGGAAAGGCTTCTGGGAATTCCATTCACCTTGAAGGCTGGACTTCAGTTCTGGCTCTGATTGTCCCTGTTCAAACTGTGTTAGGACCATGCTTGTGCAGTAGACTGACTGATTTTTTTTGCCACAGAACCAAGCCTCTGATCACTTTTTCAAACAAGCCTGGTGCTAAGACTTCTTCCCTGTATCCCTGCTGGCATTGAGGCTCTTGAAATCTTGACACTTATTTATTGAACTCAAAGACGTCTTGGATAACAGCAGCAGGAACAACAAAGGCTATATTGATCAGTGGCCTCAGGGAACACTAATGAACCCACGTGACACCCTGGTGTATTTTTTTCCAGAGATATAGTCTTGAAGATACATTTTCTCAAAAAATTTGAAGATCTCCAATGACTAGAGGCTCTTTCCTCTGATTTAGAGGATGATGGGTTATATCCAGTGGGAGAAGTTTTCAACTCTTTTTTTTTTTTTCCCTAAGATGCAATTGCACTGGTACTTTAAGGGTGTTCACTTAATTGAACATTCATGTGCTTTATACCACAAATGTCACTAGTTATTTCATAAGTTAAAGGACAGGTGATCTGAAATACTCTAATAGTATGATGTGTTCCTAGTGACTTAAATATCTCATGTCTCAGTGATAAAACTATATAAACACATAAAGGAACAAATAAGTAAATATCAAAGAAGGTATTTAAAAATTATGTTGATGAAAGAGGCTAATTATATGAGAAAAAGAACTTTGAAAAGAGTAATCTGCTCTCTAGATAATGATTAGTGCATATGAAATGGAGGAAGATGTCATTTAAGATTCTTCATGTAGCTTTTACCCTTGCTCTCCATTTCATCAAAATGTGTTTCATCTTTTTGCATGGAATACTTCTCTCCAAACTTGAGCAATCTGTTCTTATAAATTTATTACAAAATGTCCATCAGACTGTCCCCTTTAGCCTCTGCAACAGGCACCTTCAGAAGCTGGCTCATCCAACTGGAACACTTCTCAGAGGTACAGAAGAAGTTTTGTGGCATCCTTGTAATTTCCTGTTGTTTCATATCTAAAAAGAGGAATGATTTGCAAACTCTTAAACTTCTGAGAAAAATTATGTGAGTCCTTCCTGTATTTTCTTCTTCCTAATATTTTTTTCTAGTGGCCATATATCCTTGTTTCATTGGCATCTGAATATGTGATTTTTCCTTCATATAAATACATATAAATACATATAAATACATATAAATACATATATATATATATATATATATTTTTTTTTTTTCTTTTAATTTTAAGTTCTGTGTGGGACTGCAGAGGTCAATTTTTCTTTATTATGTGCTTTCACAAGGAAATTAGAAGTGAAGATCTATAAGTGATTTTGAGAAAGAGTGTGTAAAAAACCCTGTATTACCTCTTGAATTATATGTAGGTGTTTTTTACCTTTTTTTTTTTAATAAGGCAGGAAATCCTGAATGTACTCCAGGTGTGCCAGGGCACTGACACGGGGCTGTTGCAGGAGCAGCAGTGTTTGGCTGTGAGCACCCGGCGGGGAGCAGTGGGGAGCCAGTGAGGGAGTCAGCCTGGGGAACCAGGCAAGCTGCCAGAACCTGAGCAGCAGACTGGAAGACTGGTGAGAAAGGACACAAAATTACTCGATTCCCTGCCAAAGGTTTTGATGGAATCAACAGGTTCCAGTGAAATGTTTTGATTTTATTAAATCAGAATTACATCAGGCTCTTAGGGGTAGATTTCTGACTGACCGACAATCTCAATTTCATTGCAGTGATGTGTCCTGCAGAATATATATATATATTATATATATATGTATAAATATATATATATATATACACAGTTTAGTCCCAGAAGTGCTTGACTATATTCTTTAATTCAATGCCAACTCAACAGAAATTAAAGAGAAAGCTATCTAAATCAGAGATTATTTGGTACACCAACAGTCATCGTCATTTTACATTTTATAAGTAAACAAGTCAGAGATAGCCAAGTTTGTTATTTTTT